TTTCGGACCAGAGTTCCATATCATTTCCAGTCACATTTCACATAAAATACTGGTTAATGTTTCTCATGAAATGATTGTATTGTATAGCTGAGTGCTGTTTCTTTAAATCATTTTAGGATAACATTCTACTTTGTTGTTGTTATTGTTGGTGGCACAACTACTCTGCTCTGCGGTGGTCTTTATGAGTGAGTAACAAATGCATGTGATGCAAGTATATTCCATTACAGTTTAGTGTTAGAAGCGTCGCCCTTTTTTACAGGGCACCACATGTTGTTTGCATACTGTAATGTATGGTACAGGAAGTACTGAGCCTAAAGCATCGGGTAACGTACCTGTGATGTTCATGATCTTAAAAGACAACTGTCGCTCCATATAACTCCATAAGCATAGTTATAGGCTCACGGCTAACTCAAGCCTAGATCTATTAGAGGAATACAATCTAGTCTTAGTACAATGTAACACATAAACAATTGAGGAGCAACACTGAAACAACAAGACAACCTTCTTATAACGTCTCATTAAATAAAGTAAACCTTGGTTTGATGTTTACCTAACAAGGTCAACCTGTGGCGACTAACCTCTAAAGAGGCATGCATCATTCTGTCAATCTGTTCCCAACTCATTACACACAACTTGAGATATGAGCTGCCACTTTGAAGCTTCAGATAGTCCCACTTTAATTTATCTGCAACCTGTCAGCATCGTGACCTTGTGCCGACTAGCCTAAAATGGATACATTTGTTTGCCTCAACTCTCACTGGAACATAATGTCAACACCTTAGTTCGGTGTTTGCTATTCGCCATACATTGAACTGTGTCCTGCTAATGAGCTTTAAATGATGACTGACCGTGGCCTTTTGGCCACCTGCTACACCTTTAAGCATATTAAACTCTCACACAGTAACAAACAGAAGCTCAGCTTGAACATTTCATGTACATTACTTCTTATTGCAAAACTTAATGTTGTTGACCTCAAAAGGCTTCTCATTACTTTGAATAGGTTACATATTTGTGACAGACTGTAGCCTATTGGTTCTAGGCTTCCAGATAAAATAACTAAGGCTGGGTAAAGCTACTGTATGTGTCTGACAGATGTATAAAAACACAATTCCATTGACATTCATTTGGGTTAAATCACATATATTTTGGTTATACAGTTAAAGAAAAAGCATTTTCCAGAACCGGAATATCATTGTGATGAATAAACTAAAGCAAGGCATGCTACAGTGTGTTTGCTCTGCACATCACAGCGGCCTACGTTCTCACCAGGAACATTCTCATGCCTCTATACCTTCAGTATTGTGCCTTCTGAATTGCCCACATCTTGAAATTGATTATTGAAAGCAGACTTCAAACCAGCCTGCGAGCTACAAGAATTAGAAAATAAAGACAAGCAGACCTTTACAAAGGTCAAAAAAGAGACATAAGGTGTAGTGTAATATTCCAGAAGGATCTCTGCATTTTTAAAACCTCTCAGTCACTGTTACTGTCCACAAGGCTTTTTTCACAACAAAAATCGCATCAGCAAGGCAGACTTATACAGAGTGATCACAATTCAGTATCTATGGACTCCTAAGGGACCAACACACTTAAAGCTCCTAATAGCACACAACTAATGCTTGCTGCTGCCTCTCACAGACTACAGGATCAGAGACTAGATCTCGCTCATCCAGGGCGTTGGCGAACTAGCTGATGATGAAGAGCTGTGAGAACAGTTCCCTGTCATAAATTCCAGGTTTTACATACAAACTGATGCTCTCTCTCTCTCTCCGTGTGTGTATGTGTGTGTGTGCAGTCTGGAAAGAAAGAAAACAGGACGGTCTAATCTCTAATTGACAGCAATCTAATAATGATGTTGACAGTCATGCAAGCAGGAAGCAGAAGATATGTAGGCTAATAATTGCTGCCATACCCATTAACGTCTGTTAGATAGTGTAGCCCATCATTTGCACTCTCGTCTTTGCGAACATGAAGTACATTAGATCAATCACGTCTTTTCCCATAAAGGCCATCAACACATCGTAAAAGATGACATCACAATTTGATAGAATGTGATACAAAGCGGCTTCCTCATAAACTCCTTAGCCACAGTTCTCTAAACATAATGACATAGACACAGAACAGACATATTATTTGAATTCATGTATTTGACAGATAGAGATAGACAGACAGATAGATAGATAGATAGATAGATAGATAGATAGATAGATAGATAGATAGATAGATAGATAGATAGATAGATAGATAGATAGATAGATAGATAGACAGAAACGCAAAGTTACAAGTTTTATTCTCTACTACAGACATTTCTGTCAACTTCAGCCCAATTTCTCTCGAACTCAGGCACTCAGAAACAACTTTAAGAGATTCCTGTAACTCACCTTTAGTGTTCCCTCCTCGACAGGTGAACGATACAATTGTTGTGGAAGAGCCTCAGCGTGTACAAAATGTTGTATAAGATAACCCCGTCCGTCCGTCTGTTTAAGGTGTTTTGACGCTTCTTCCAGTACAGAACTGCTAATTTCCACGATTTCAACTGCAAAACCATGAGAGAGAGAGAGAGAGAGAGAGAGAGAGAGAGAGAGAGAGAGAGAGTTGGTTGCATCCGCCCCTCCACACGGCACAGACAGAGTAGGCTACTGTACTGCTGTGCTTCCGGATGTTCCTGGGTACCAAGTGAGGGCAGAGATCACAGAATGGCAGTAGAGAGGATGTGGTGGACATTATCGTGCGTAATTGTCCGGTATACAGATGCTGTCTAAACGGCGTGTATCCGACACTAAAAGCTAAAACCGCACAACTTTGAATCGTGTGTGTGTGTGTGTGTGTGTGCGTGTGTGTGTGTATGAGGCGGTCAGAGTTTGCAGGAGCCATCAGTTATTCAAACGTCAAAGAAAGTATTGGATCATTACACTGACTGCCTGTCACTGCCTCACAGTCAGCGAGAAAAGAACCCATCACATTACAGCATAAGCGGATCACAGAGGAATGTATCTGCCTTGTGTTTTGCATATAAGTAATAATTATTTTCGTGAAGTTGGGTGGGTAAGTTGACTGCGAGCAGGACATTCACCTCGAGTCTGATACCACCTGCTGGATGCGGACGGTATTGACTTTGAATAAAGTGCATAGTGGGAAATCACAAATTTTTCAGAGTGGAAAACACCCAACGCATGTTTATATTGGTTTAGGGAATATATGACACGTCATGAGAACACTGTGAATTAAGTTAAAGTGAATCCGATCGAATAGGAGCTTGAATTGGTTCGTTTGGACGTGCTAAGAACTGTACAGAATCCTTACATGGTTAACTGCATCGTTTTTTGCATCGCATCGCAGAGCATGTATTGAGATGTAGAGTAAATTCATATAATAAATAATAAAAATAATAATAACGGAACCATTATACGTTTTGGACATAATTCTTTAAATATTTTAATAATGTTTTAATATTGATTTGTGTACCCTATATATAAAAATAATGACTGAATGAATATGTAGTACTGTACATTAATAAACACCTCAAATGGCCCTATATCCTCCTACAACTGTGTTATAAACAGTGTATCGAATACTCAGTACTGCATAGAATAATAATGCTTAACCAATGTCTGCTTGTGTATCTTGTTATTTTCATAAATGTATGTGTGGAGAAAGTGGGCCCACAAAGGCATTAAAATATCCACACATATAACAGCTGTCATATTTTTGATGGTGGTCTATGCAATATGAATACATTTTTTTATTAAAAAACTGACTGAAAACCAACAATAAATGTCCAAAAATTCTGAACTTGAGAAACAGTTCTTTATTACTTAACCTATTATATCTCGTTCTTTCCTTTTTCTCTAATCGTTTCCATCCCTGGACAAAGGGCCCTTTCTAATAGTCAGCTTTGCAGAAAAATCCTTTAATTCCTAATTTCCGTGTATGTGTCAAGACATATTTTGGCATCAACTGCCAAAGTACAACCGATTCCCCAAAAGTTAAGCACCTGTCAACAACTGCTGCAGTGTTACAATTATAGGCTACGTCAAAAGTCAGTATGTATATTACACATCTGCTGATTAACATCACACACAATGCACAGGTTTCACTTGTTAAATTGTGATTTATGAGGGAGGAGTCCTTGTCAAAGGGGTAGGGCACAGTTTACATTTTTCATAGGGACTATTTCTTCAGTTTAAAGTGTTCTGTTGGTGATGATTCTCCAGAGTAGCAATGGCATGGTTTCTGAAAATATGTTTTAAATGTAAATTTTAATGCAACACACTAAATTCCAATGAACTATCTACATCCAGCTTCTTGAAGCACTAAGTCCCAACAGAAAACATTACAAAAATCAAAAAACATGTTTTGCTTCGTTGAATTTATGGCCCATGAAACACATGGACAGTCATATCTGTGCATACAAATAGACACGTCTTTGCACTAAGGCAACCTCAGTATCTACAGTAACTTATATAAGTACAATAACTTGTGTTTTCATTATGAGGCTAACCATCTGTTGCCTTCATTTTATTTACATACACGACTTCATATGTTACATGCTTGTTGTAATGCCATACTGCAAGTATTGTTGCATCGAAGCCGAATAACTGAAAACTCCCAGCAGCTAATAATCCACTTGACACCTCAGAAGAAGAAAACAATTGAGATTCTCCACAGGAAACGACATTTGAACTTTTGCTGAAAATACAGATGTACTGACAGCTTTGACTGTGCTGAGCAAAAGAGTCTGCTCTGTGTTTGGTTAGACAGTGTAGGACAGTGTCTGAATGGTGCTGGTGCCAGGGTGCTTTTTGGACATCAGGGGGAGGAGCTCAGCTCTGCAGGGTTGCGGCACCATTTAACCCCAGATAATGGTCCTACGATCGACCAGTGACGCTGTTGAGATGTTTCAAGACTTCAGTTTTTTTTTTTTATATATGTATATATAAACTTTGCCTTGTTCAGCCACACCGCAATCATGTGAGAGTTAAACAGCGAGGAGACGTGGACAAAGAGGAACCAGCGAACAGCAGCAGGTGCTCAACATGGCTCAGGAGGTAAGTAATGCCATTGTTGTAGGACACGAACAGCAGGCGGACACTTTTTGTTGTTTCTAATTACTGCTCCGTTTTTATTATTTTCTAGCTAAACAATGAAGAAGGGTCCACATTGATTCCCCCACAAAAAGCTCCTGGAGAGCCAAGAAGTTCAATGATATCGGCGTCTTTTAATTTCATAAATTCCATAATAGGATCTGGAATAATAGGTAAATCCATATCACAATTCAAGTAGCCAATATTGCCTGCGAAACGTATAACTTGATTATGTACAATCGATTATATGAATACAAACTGTTGCTCTTACACTCTTAACCATGTTATTATTCAGTTAACTAATTGAACAGTATTTTTTTGTGCAACAAAGAGCAGCTTTCATTCTAGCCCTGCAGTGGTAAACCCTCCATATCATATGACTGGCGCATGTTGCCCCCCCCCCCCCCAATCTCCCCTTTAACTCTTTCATCCTCAAATAAATGCCTGAGTCATTATCGGGAAAAACAGAACAGCATCAGCATGGCATTTTAAAGACTTAGTATTGATTCTAACTGTAACACTGTTTTTGCTTTAAAATGCAAAACAACAAGTTAAACTCTTTAGTTGCAGTTCTGTATATGTTTATGTATATCTTTTTTGACCAGGTTTACCATATGCATTGAACCAGGCTGGACTCCCCTTTGGCCTTCTGCTGTTGGTAGTTGTTGGGTTCATCACAGGTGGGTTTATGAAAGGTGTCATTTTGAAAAAATATGGAGGCATGGATTTATTAAATGAGCAAACTATTAACACTATGTTTTGCATTTAATGACAGACTACACAATCATCTTACTAATTAAAGGAGGCAACCTGTCCGGGACAAACAGTTATCAGTCACTGGTGCACAGCACATTTGGTTTTCCTGGATTTCTGATTCTATCTGGGCTGCAGTTCCTTTATCCTTTCATTGGTGAGTTGTTTAATGTATAATCCAAATTTCAATATTACATAATGGAATAACACATTTTCTACACATTTTACGTGTAAGTTCCAGTGTGGTCTGACGAATAATAACGGTTTACTATTTAATCTATTTCTTTTCTATAACTGTAGACTTTGGGTTCAGTCTAAATAATACTGCAGACATGAATACTAAAATGATACTTCACCTCTGTTTTCTTCCTCAGCTATGATTAGCTACAACATCACAACTGGTGACACACTGACCAAAGTATTTCAGAGAATACCAGGAGGTATGCTGCATGTAGTGTATTCCCCCTTAGATAAAAGACAAACCACCTGCAGTAAATCCCACATTTCAACATATTCTGTGCATCTATAAGATTCAAGTATATGTTGTCACGTTTTGTGCTTACAGTTGGTCCAGATCACATACTTGCAGAGCGTCACATTGTGATCTTGCTATCAACCCTTGCATTCACACTGCCTCTCTCGCTTTATCGAAACATAGAGAAACTTGGGAAGGTAAGTTTGATTATTACACGGTTGTCAGTGTCATTTAGTGATTTTAAAGCTGCCTGTAAAACATCTGTGTGTGTTACCAGGTGTCCTTCTTGTCAATGGTGCTGACATTTACCATCCTCATCATTGTAATCATCAGAGCAGCTACCTTTGGACCCCAAATGTATGAATGCATATTCATACATTGATACAAATGCTTCCTGTGTGTGAACCACTGTTTTTTTTATGAATTCAAACTAAGATGCTATTATACAAACATAATCATATGTTTCTGTGTTCCTTGATGACTGAATGTGAATATCACTCTCTAGCCTCCCTACAGAGAATGCATGGGTATTTGCAAAGTGGAATGCATTTCAGGCAGTTGGTGTGATGTCTTTTGGTGAGTTTGTCTGCATGATGCCAATGACTGAACATCTTAGAATCTTTTTAGCTTCATGTTGTTACTGTTACATGTTGTAAGTATACAGAAACACGAGCCAAGATGGCTGCCAAACACATTTTTCTGTTAGAAACAAGTAAACGAAGGCTGATTATCCACAAAACCCAGAACGCATGCAGGATGAAAGGGGTCCTATCCCCTTACCTGGGAAAAGAGATCCAATGCACCACCACACACCTGAGAGAGGTCAGTACTTTAAACACCAGCACAGAAGGGGTGTGAAGCATTTAGCTCATTATGTTGGTTTCACAACCTGTAAATTCACTTTATGGTTAAAATCCTGTTTCCAGCTGCTTTCCGGAGCTCTGATCAAACCGATGCTACCACATGGTCAGAACCAAAGGCCCTACGATACACAATCTCACCCATTCAGCATAAGGCCTGTTATCATCTCCTTTTGAATGAGACTATGTCCATAAGTGAGTGAGTCTAGTCCACCAAGGCCTTTACACACATTGTGGTGAAAATGTTGGCCTTGAATCAAGTGGCTTGGCAATAATGGCTACTACTGCTACAAAGGAAGTCATTTAGATGGGGAATACAGTGCTGTGTAACTTGAACTAAGACAGGCGTTGTTGGCAGACTCTCAGTCTTAAAAGGGATGGATACGATCAGCTCACCATCAAATCCATTCTGCAGAGAGGAAAGAGGCCCTCTTGGTTCAGACAAGGTACCAAGTTAACTAGAGTTTAAAGTTCAAGCTAAAGAGGAAAACACTTCAAAGTGTTGTTATGAGCAATACTTTTGAGTGTTGTTATTATGTGTTAATGGTATGTCTATGTTCTGCCCCTGTGTGTCTCTTTAGCCTTTGTATGCCACCACAACAGCTTTCTCATCTATGGTTCTCTGGAGCAGCCCACGCTAGCTAACTGGTCTCTGGTCACCCACGTGTCTGTAGGCTCTGCGTTAATAATCAGCGCTGCGTTCGCCGTTGCTGGCTATACCACCTTCACCGGCTACACACAAGGTAGCGATATTAGAAATAGCAAACTACACGACTCTACGGTTATTTCTTTTTAATATCACCATTGTATGTTTATGATCTTATATTTCCACCTTGTTTTTAGGAGACGTATTTGAGAACTACTGCAGAAATGATAACCTGGCAACATTTGGTCGCTTCTGTTTTGGCCTTAGCATTATGACCACATTTCCACTGGAGTGTTTTGTTACACGTGAGGTAAGTGATCCTTTCTCGTACTCCAACCTAAGAATTTAACAGTTAAACGTTTACATATGTGAGGGAAAGTGGTATTCTGAGGGTTTGAGCCAGAGGCGTGGCTTTGTGACTAAATGAACAAAAGGAAAGCTTGCCACTTCACTCCCAATTGCTCTTGCAGAGCTGCTCAGTGGGTACAACCAATGTCAGCTGTAGAGGCTTGTCCCCAGGTCCTCCCAAGGCATCTGAAACAATGTGTGCATTACAACTCGCTCTCTCTTGTTTATCTTCTCAGGTGTTATCCAAGGTCTTTTACAGTCGGGATCTTTCAAAATTGGAACATGTGGCAATAACGTTTCTCATAGTTGCAGTTTGCGCATCCATATCTTTGGCCTATGATTGTCTGGGAGTTGTTTTGGAGCTGAATGTGAGTGATATAAACTCAGCCATCTGCATTTTCATTTTGGTTAGTGTGTATGAGGTGTTGAATTTGACCTTAATGGTGTTCTCTTCTACCATCCAGGGTGTTCTGAGCGCCACGCCTCTGATCTTCATCATTCCATCTGCGTGCTTCCTCAAACTCTCCCCCGGCCGCTGGTTCCGGGGTGAAAACCTAATACCCACCAGCTTGATATTAATTGGCTTGTTTGTTATGATCACCGGTTTGACCATGACGGGCCTCTACCCTCAGGCTTGCTCACACGGCGCAGAGATGTTTTACTGTGCAGATGCCAATGTTTCTGGCACTGTACCACCTGCATGAAATCCAACAAATATTTGATTCTCTTAAACCTTTTTTAAACAGCACTTAAGAGACAAAATGTGGACAAGCTTGTCCGCAAACCTATGTGTACTTGAACTGGGGCTCTTTTTCATGGTTTGGGCTGTGGTCTCCTTAGTTCCAATTAAGGGACATCTTAAAAGGGACATATCATGTTCATTTTCAGGTTCATATTGTATTTTGGGTTTCTACTAGAACATCATTACAACATTATTTTCTCATACTATCTGTTTCAATATCCCTGAATACGCTCTGTTTTAGCGCCTGTCTCTTCAAGATGTGACTTATGGTATACATGGCATGTGACATAGAAAGGGGAGCCAAACCTGAATGGCTTGTTGAATAACATGTTTTCTGATCTAGGCAGCCCACAAAAAACAGACTGGGCTGTCATATTTCACAGTTTGTGAGTCTGCGCTCCTGATACCCAAATGTATGTGCTCAAGTACTGAAAATGTGACTTTTTCATGATATGTTTCCTTTAATGTTACACCATGCAATGATATTTTAGAAAAAAGCACATTTCCAACTTTTGAGAAACAGCTTGGGGAAGATCCTTTCCTCTGTCAACATTGCCCCTGTGCACAAAGCAGGTCCATAAAGAAATGTGTTATTGCGTTTGATGTGGAAGTACTTGACTGACTTGCACAGAGCCCTGAGCTCAACCCTATTAACACCTGTAAGATGAACTGGAACGTCTACTGTGAACCAGGTGTTATAGCCCAACAAAAGTACCAGACTTCACTAATGTTCTTGTGGCTAAATACAAGCACATGATATTATTGCCTACCCATCTACCTAGTAGTACACCCACCTCATCAACGACCACTACGGCACTCCTTATATGATATTATCGGAGCATTTTAATACTCATGGGTTTGAACTGTTCAATGAGTGTTCTATGAGTGTAATGTTAAGGTTTCTACATACTTTTGATGAGATATTATACATGGATGTATTTAATTTGTTGTTTTTCTTTTTAACTTAATTGTCTGTTTTGATATTCATGATTCAGAATTATTTGTATCACGCTGAAGGGGAAATAGTCGTTTCCTTATTCAGCCACACGATGTCGCTTTATACAATAAAAAACGTCGATTAAAAGGAAGTGCAAAACAACAACGGTGATATGTTTTGATACAGCGTATTTCAAACCGTATGAAAGAGGGGCTTTGCCTGTGTTGTTTTTCAAGATTTTGTTGGGTTGTTGCTTTGACTGTTCTTGCTGAAGCTGGGCTGGATAACGTTATGGCCAGCGCTTCATCGGGATCCTGGAGGGAAGGTAAACTGGATCTGAGAGACGCCCCACTTTTACAGCTCAATGTTGCGATGGAGTCTTTTGGATGTGCAGAGAAAAGTTGGCAGAGTGTCGGGGGCAAAATGCTTTAGATATGGCAGACTTTGTAGTTTAAAAGGAGGGGGGGCATATTTAACCACACCGGAGTGGTTTGCGTAAAACGCGCAAAAAAAACGGAACTCCAGAGCGGAGTAATGGATCATTTATCGAAACAAAATCGGTTTGTTGTGGAATTCAACTCATTGTTTTCTATGTAAAGACTTATGGAAGTTGACAACTGCGTCGAAAACCAACAACGTCCATGGTAAGACATGATAGATGTATTCGGTGAAACGTATTTCCAGTAGAAAAGAAGGAAAAACGGTTCATATGACTAAAAAACTGATGACCTCATGTGGGATTCGCCCATATTTCAGTATTTGCCAGTTTGCATCACTTGAAAGCAGCAGGTTAGAGTAGCCTTTATAACATTTAGTATGTGAACCGTTGAATGAATTGTGGCTTTTGTTTGTGTTTGACTAGTCGGAGCGATTTTGTTAAACCAATGAGTTTAGTCATGGATGATCATGGATCCCATCCCCATCCACGGAGCTCTGGTCTGAGGTATGTAGATTACCAGCTGTCAACTATGTGTTTTATTTGTCAATGACAGAGAAACCCCCGTTAGACCTACTCGGAACATGTGTGTCCAGTAGCCTTTTTTTACTGAACATTTTAGAAAAAAAATCATAGTTTATCTTTATTTGAGCCACACCTCCATGGTCCTAAAAGTATTGTTTGGGAAATATAATTATAAAACAGCTAAAGTATGAAAAATAGTAACAAAGGCCTTGTTGTTTTTCATTGTGCACCAATAAAATGACACCAGAATATAACGTTCTTCCACCGATGACGCTCTGTGGCGCTGGTCACGATAATTGCTTGCAGGCAACCAGCTTTTTTTTCTGACCTATCTGTGAAAGGTATAAGTATAATGCCAACCATGTAAAATAATGCAACTTTCAAATAGCGTTCTTCTCACTCAGTACATCTCTGTGAAATCACAGTTGTTGCAGACGTTTCAACCTTTGAACTCTCCTCATTTCCTGCTCTCAGGGTTTTACTGAGAAATTGCCTTGACCATATGTAGAGGTCATGGGAAGTATTTTGCAGGCAAAACATTCTGACTCTGTGATGAGCCTGTTGATCGTTTTTTCTTGTGGAAATCATGCGTACGCTGGGCTTGAAACTGATATTCTATAAAATACAGATTCGTCATCTCCAGTAGTCAGAGAAAATCACATTAAAAAGCTCTGAGTATATGACATGATGGAATCAGTTTTGGTTCAGGGACTCAGAGATGATGTCAGCTGCTTGAATTTCAGTGGATGGAATCATTAAAAAAAGGGGGGCTGTGAGTTTCCAGAGCTTTTTTACAGTCACCACTCACTCCTTTGGCATTAAATTAAAGATGAGACAAGAATTTGAACACATGACAGTTTCCAATCCAGTATTCCATGACGGCTATATGCAAAGTTTCCAGTCCTTTCCTGCATATCATAGTTTCCCGTTTGTAAAAATAGCATTCAGGCACATCATCATGTGCAGTTTACTTAGAAAAAAAAAAAAAACACTCCCTTGGTCTGACTAATAATCATATTTCATAAGCATTGTGTAATCTAGGAGCACAGCCACACTCCTTGGCAATGGAGAGCAGCAGACAACCTGAATCTCTCTGTGGTTTGACTATTATTTGCAAAAGTAAACCGCACTCTTCCATAAGTTGCTGGGGCACGGGGGGGGAGGGGGGGGGGGGGGGGGGGGG